CTTCACCATTGGGCCACCAAGATACAGGCTGTGCCTAGTTTGGGGCCCACGGGCACCTCTGCCGTATTTGTATCTATGTGAATGCTGTTCGCTTCCATGTCTACATGTAATCTAACTTGTGTATGCCAATAAACAAATTTAATTTAATTTAATTTAAATTTAATTTAATTTAAAGACCAGCTGACATTTAAGAATGCGACATTTTGAACACAAAAGAATTGAGTGCCTTAAATTTCTTACAGTACAATGGCTTCTCGCCTTACAAAGAATTAAATAGAAATCTGATTATTGTTTTTGATATTTTCGGAGATGTAAAGATGGTGTATTTATGTTTTTATATTAACTATCGTGGGACATACTAAATTTACTAAAATCGCGGGTTACTCACGTGAATATACTGAGAAAAACTCTACTAGTTTCGAACCACAGAGGGGTTCTTCCTCATGAGCAGCGTGCTCGGTCACGGCGACGTCGCCGACCGACCGCCGACCAGTGAGCTGCGCGATGTTTATTTATCTTATTAATATGATAATGCGCATGTTTCTGTTCTATATCTATTAGTATGTTTGTCCCACAATCATGTCAAAACGGCTGAATGGATCGTGATGAACTTTGGATCAGGATATTATTGCCTAGAATGACACATATTTTGCTACTTTTTATCATATGGAACCGCGGTTCAGGCCGCTAGCAGAAGCTAGCTTAATAGAAGTTAAATAACAGTATCTGAAAACCTATAAAATAACTTAGCCAGGTTTCCTCACGATGTTTTCCTTTACCGTTTGTAAGTGGTGTCTAAATAATCTTAGAAAGTACATATAACTCGGAAAAGTCACATAGGTACTCGCCGTTGGTAGGTTTCGAATCCGCACCATGAGGGTGCATGAGAAGCAGGCGTCTTAAACCTGGGTCACCATGACACAGTCACGACAGGCATATTTGTGATTAATGAACTGTTTATCATAAATTATTTCCTTAATTTTTCTCACTTTAAATATTCACCTACAGTCGTCTCTAATGTTGCATCTAAAGGTTCAGGGAGCATTCAAGTGTAATGTAACATTATAGATTCAACTTTGAGCATTACATTACAATAATACCTTCCTGACTAACGAGCATTTGCGTGTAATGTAACACATATGCGACTTTTAGCATTTCATGGCAAGATGTCAGACATTGATGTTACAAGTTGTATCAAGATATTACACATTGTGTCATTACAAGGTGCGCATTGTAATGCTCGGTTCTCTTCCTCCACTGATGTAATGATCAGATCTATAACGTTACATTACACGCGAACGCTCCCGGTGAAAGAGCACCTTCAAAGCCAATAAACTTCCATAAAAAACAAATAGTTAGAGAGATGACGACCAAAATTTTTGTCTCATAGCAATACGGCCAAAACCGCCTCAAATTTATCCTGAACTCGAAAATACCAATATCAGACATCTTCCGCGTAGCGTTTGATCTGACCACAAAAACACCAGACAAAAAAAATGTCTCATAGCAATACGTCTGAAAACCTTTTTTATTAGTAAATTTTGGTTATTTGATGCGAACAAAACAATTTTCAGACGGAAATGTGAACGCATTAAATATTGAGACCGTTTTGAAAATGTTAACAAATTTTACCGATCGGTATCATGGCAATATGTCTGAAAATTGTTGGACATGATAAAATAAGTTGTCCAAATGTGCAAAAAATGTATATCAGACAAAATAAGTGTAGCACCTTCTCTATCAGACAACTTTTCGATACTCAGATATTTTTGACACAGCAGAAATGGCCTCCCACGCAGTTGCTACACTTTCGACCGTTACTACACACCTAGTCAGGTTCAGAATCATACAATCTTACGATTTTATAGGGTTTTTGCCGTATTGCTATGAGACATGGTTTTGGTCGTCATCTCTCGTACTAAAACACACACAAAGGTAGTTTAAAACACAAAACAAAAGAAAATCTACCATAGAACTAATACAACTATAATAAAACACACCAATATTTATAAAATTCAAAATGAAATCCTACAACGCTTGCATATGAAACTATAAAATTTAATATTGCCCGCCGGCTTGCTATATTTCTAGTAGTGCACTCGCCCAGTTTTGTTCGCTTTTTGCAAATATTCATGGGAAACTGAGATTAAAGAAAAACATGTGCCTGCCTCCAGGTGGTGAAATATGATAAGGGTATGCAACGGTAACTGTGTTTAAATTGGTCGGGAAATCCGCCTATTCGTTTCAAAACGCTTTCGGTATTTTCAATTTTGAGAGGTTACAAAAGAGAACAAGAATGTGCGTAGAGGGTTAGGGAAACCTATAGTTCTATTCTACATACTATCATCATCATGGCTCATTTTCATTTTAGAGAGTACAGTTCCCTAAGATCGGAAAAGGAGGATCATCCAACCAGGCGATGATGCCTGGCGGACTTTCTGGCCTTTTTTTATGGCATAAGCCGGTAAACGAGCAGACGGATCACCTGATGGTAAGCAATCGGCGTCGCCCATGGACACCTGAAACACCAGAGGCGTTACAAGTGCGCTACCGGCCTTTTGGGAATTAGAAGTTTGAGGATCGTTGGGGATTCAGGGATTGGGGAGATTGGGGAAGGGGAGGGTAATTGGGCCTCCTCCGGTAACCTCACTTACACGACGAAACACAACGCAAGCTTTGCTTCACGTCGGTTTTTTATGAGGCCGTGGTATCACTCCGGTCGAGCCGGCCTATTCGTGCCAAAACATGGCTCTCCCACACTTAAATCCTACAGTTGTTCGGATTTTCTATCCCTGTTAATTCGCATTTAAACTTTAGGCTGATTTTATTGTTTAGCGTTTCGGCGTTTGGGGATAAATGAGAGTAATAGTTGCATTATGTGGTGGTGGTTTAAGACGCCCGCTTCTCATACATGAGGGTGCGGATTCGAAACCTACCAACGCCAAGTACTAATGTGACTTTTTCCCAGTTATATTTTCTTTATAAGATTATTTAGACACCACTGACAAACGGTGATGGAAAATATCGTGAGG